TAGTCATTATGAAATATTGTGACGAAATTAGCAAAATTAATGGTTTTTTCAGCATATGGTACAACATTTTTCTTCCTTTCGTAGCTTTCTATCAGCATATCTCTTTCAATATTATCATTTCGCCAATTTTTTTCCTTTTTTCATTTGTTCTCATCAAAAGCGTTAACTGATTTTATTTTGGCTAAAATGTGAATTGTTCCTTTTGATATATTTCTGCAGTAAAAATTCGTTTTGAAAATTTGCCATTCTTAAACACAATCTTCTGTCTTTGTTCTCAATTTCTCCTAATGCAAGCATTTCGAAAATTTGAAAAATACGTTAAAAGTATATGTTTCAGAGATTATTGGAAGTGAAAATTGAAGGGCTCATTGTAATCTGCCTGAGGTACCATTCTTCTTTACGGCATGCTGTAAGATGAAAAATTGAGCAAAATAAAAAGTTAGTAACGGGGAAGATAAAGGAGAAATTAAGAAAGAGAGAGATAAGGGTGAGGCAAAGAAAAAATCAAAAGATGAGGAAAATGAGGATGTGATGAGAGAAACCGACATGAGAAACATCGGGAAATTTGAAAAGCCGAATGAATTTGAACAATTGCGTCAAAGTTGTTATTTAAATGTTCAAAAGTCACTTGTTAAATGCTGCATTTTGACAGTTTCATTTGATTTCTATTGTTTATAGCAATGCAAAGTAGTGAACATTCTGCGAAAGCGACAACGATCTCAGAATTTGTCAGTAAAATAAATTAATAAAAAAGGTCAGATTTATTATTTATTGTACCTGCGGTGTTTCACAATTGCTATGGAAAGGACGTTGGTTTTCTGTTTGTAAATAATTCATACAAGAAAAAAAGTTGATGGTTTTCTTGTTCGATCAGTGACGCACTTTGATAGTCAAATAAATTCATTTTTTTCCTGCATTTTTAGGAATGATAGGTTAACAACCATTATTGGCTTTATGCATTTTGTATGTTTTGCTATTTTCTTCATCCATTACATCTCTGCACAATTCCTTGTTACAATAATCTCTTCTGTAAAAAATTTGGTGTGAGATGACTATTTATATATCGATCATAAGAAATTATTGTGAATGTAAATATCTAATTAAAAATTGAGAATTATTCGAAATTAGTCTTTGTTAACAACGTAAACGATAATCATTCTTTTTATACAAAGATTGTTACTTAATTATCATTCATTTCCTTCTCCTAATGAGCTTCATATCTTCAGAAAAGATTTCCAGTCTTTCACTAATAAGAACAATCTGTTATTTAATCTTTTTCCATCATTTAACATTCTTCCATTCTTGTCCAATAATTCTTTTCAGGGAATAATTAAAATTTAAGTTTAAATTGATTTATTATTTTTATTCATCAGTAAACATACACTCAATCATACATTTAACCATTTTTCCTAACTGCGAGATTAAAAATGACATGATAAAGGATAGGCTAAAGTTTTCATTTTAATCTTTAAAAGAAATATGTCAATTTATTTCTTCAAATAACATCGTTTTTATTTATTAAAATGCGTGTGAATAAAAATTACACTTTTTGTGGAACATAGAAAAAAGAAAAAAAGACATTGTAAATTGCAAATGAAAAGCAATGAAGTTCGAGTGTATTTGAACCAACGATGTTATCGCCCAGACTTTTTTTATCGATAATGATAGCAAGCCATATTGCTGCTCATTATCCTTTAGTGTACTGTACAAGAAAGAAAATGCTGTTATAAAGCTCATCGGTCTTAATTATTAACCAAGTTTGATTTCAGAGAAGGTAACAGCCTGATAAGGATACAAGTTGCAGCGTATTGTGGTACAAATGGTGAAAAAATCAGATGTGCTAAATGCTACCACACATATTCTCAAATCTGTACTAAATATCTAACAAAAAAAGTGAAAGTTTATATTAAAAAAGATATAACTCAATTAGTAATGAAAAGAGAAAGAGAGGAAACAAAAAAATTTATTAATATTCATATTTGGTAGAGTGACAACAATATTAGAAAAGGAAACAAATACAAGAGTGAACTATTGTAATTTCATATTATTAATACAATTATTATCACGATTCTTGTGCCTAAAAAGCTATCGATTGCTAAAAAGAAGAAAATGAAAGAAATGCATTATCTTCCATAGAGTATTTCTTTAAACCTTCAACATCAATCATTAAAATATTAAAATTTAATAATGAATCTGTCAGGTATCCAACAAAAAATCTATTCAATATATTAAAGATGAAAAGAACAAAAAGACTAGAGAAAACAGAAAATTAAAGAAGTATTATCAACATTTGGATTTTGCTCCTTTCATTTTTTGTTCTGAACTATTTAAATGAATCAAATAATAATAGAATACAAAAATTTAAAAATTAATCTAGAAATTGCAAATTAAATTGAATCCCAAGGGTGAATTTTGAAAGTGTTTCATATAAAAGATAACAGCAATTTTGCAAGAAAAAGGTAAGGAGGGATCGTGGATTTCACGAGTGACAATAGTACCTGAAAATAGTACTGAAGATAGGTAGGCGTGGAAAAAACCATCCCTGATCTTTTACAGACAAAAGGTAAGGTAAATCTACAATGACTCTTCTTTCGTACGAGACCACGGCACCCTTCGTTATGTTTTTGCATACATCCAGTTGGTGCTAACTTTTTTTCGATAAGTTTTTTATTTCTCCTGCACTATTCATCCTCGTTTCATCTCACAATTCTTTTTTTATCACTTCTTCCGAAAGTGCTGAAAATATTCTCATCTGTTTGAGCCAAAGATTGAGTAATTAAAGATAGTTTAAATTTACTTCATTTGTCCTGAAATTATCTTAAAACTAAAAATTTCCCATCTTATAAGCCTGGATATGGGCAAGTTATAAAATTATTATTCACTATTTATTATTTAACCTATACTAAAACGAAATTTTGCTGATACCATTTCTTTTAAGCCAAGAAAATAGAATTCTATCCCTACAAACTAATTTCCACAATACGTTATTATCAGCTAATGTAAAAAATAGGATGATATAATGATTCTTAGTTATCTTTTAGCCTTAACATTGACGTACTTCTTGTCGGAGTATCGCATATTCTCATATTGTAAATTTTTTAATTACGAATTAATCTTTATTCATTTAATTCCTGCTTCTTTCGAATCTTTTAATGCATGACGAATCTTCAAGATCACGTTTTCAACAGAATTTTTCACGCTTGATAATTACCGATCGATACAAACCTTGCCTTTGATTAACAGACATTAATATCACTGCCCACTTCTACGGATATTCATTAAATATTGCAGCAAAACGATTCACAATAGCCGCTCCTACTTACCGATTGGTTTGAAAATAAAATTTAGGGCAAAATATGAAAGCAAGCAATCAGTACCCATTATTACTGTTAAATTTTCATTTAAGTTTTGATTAAAACAGAAGTTTGTTCACTGTTAACACTCCGGTTATTTGGAAAAATTCTCCAGAAAATTTATTTTGTTAGCAGGATTCATGGTCGGAAAAACCATGCATATTAAACACCTCACATTATAATTTATGATGATGAAAGCAACAAGTTAAAAAGTAAAATAAAAAAATTTTTCATAAATCATCATGTCAGACACTGTTTAGTATGCATGATTTTATTTGGTACAAATCAAATCAATTAATAATGGCAAATACTCTCTAGCAAAACAAAAGAACAAAAAAGAAAACAATAAACAATAATGAAAGTACAAAATTCACTGACGCTTTTTGTTATGAAATATTATAAATTCCTGAAGAAACAAAAATGATAATTTATTTCTGAGGGAGGCAAACTACACGGGCTAAAAGTTTACTCATTGATCAAATTTGCATTTGATCAGCAATGCTCTCAATAAAAGTTATCATTTTTCTCAGGATTTGATGATATTTTTGTTTGATAATGTATGTAAACCCGTCCAATATTGCAAATGATATGTATCTAATAACGTCCCTCATCATCTATAGAGTGCCTACCGTTCCTCTTCTAACATTTCGCTAGAATTGATACAAAATCCAGTAATTTTTAGTAGAACTTCTAACCCAAAATTTTCACCTAAATATTTTGAAGTGATGCAAAAAGGGAAGAAACATAAAATCAGAAATAGCTTCAAACATAAAAATACCATTTCTAACAATAGAAACTATTCCAAATAGTGAGTTCAATTATTGACACAAAACGTTGCGCTGATCCGCTAGAACTCAACAAAATGGTGCTCAAAAGAGTACATGCACTGATTTTCAAGTTCTATTTCAAATAAATTGACTTAATATTTTTTTCTACACTTTTTCATATGTCTTTCAATTAATTTACTTGATAAATCGACAATGCTATGTTTCTCAATGTAAAATTATTGACATATTTCATCAGTGTACAGTTATTGAGCATCAAACCAATAAATATATCAGAAGCTTTCTATATATTCAAATACGTGAGAATTAGTTAAATAAATGAAAAAAATTGAAATTAGGTATAACACATAAAAAAGCGGAATAAAAGTAAAGAGCACTTCTAACATAAATATCAAGAAAGAAACAAACCACAATTTACTCACTTCACAAATTTCATTTCTCAAAACTAACCAGTGTTTTCCATTTTTCTTCCTTTCAAGTGATAATTCCAGTACAGATCATAGATGAGCAGAATGATTCACAGAGAGAAAGATAGAGGAAATGCACTTAAAAAGGAACAAAAAGATGGGAATAAAGAAATTTAAGCTTCAAGATTTTTTTAGCGCTAGATAAAAACAGTCCTTCCATTAAATTTAAAAAATATTTTAAATTAAATATGTAAAAGAAAGCATGTGTCAAAGAATTACGTTTAATAATGAAATACTTAAATTTCAAAACTGTCCTAATAATCTATAGTTAAGATGAATCATTACATTTCTTAGATGGTACAGATGAAGAATCACGCAAGCTTCGGTATTGTCGTATTTAGTTGCTAGTTAAAATGCCCACACAAGAAACACAAGGAGAAACATTAATTTATTTATCACAAATCATCACGCGAATGCAAATGAAAACTGTTTGGATTTGATTGTGGATTCTTACCAATAGCATGCATTAGCTGTGGAAAATATGGTTTCAAAAGCCAATAAAAATAACCAACACAAAGCGTGGTTAGCATAACAATGGTAAATAGGATATGTGATATACGTTTTTTAGTTGGTTTTTCATAAATACTAGTACGGCAAACAATCTCACCATCGATGTAGTTTCGAGCGATGAATTTCAAGGCTTCATCTAGAAGAATAACGGGGAATGAAATTTTCAGCACTGCGAACCATTCTACTAGTGTGAGTGGCGTGATCTGGAAGATCGTTGCCAAGATTTCCACGTATAGAATAACAAAATGTAGTGATAGTGATAGAGCTATTGATGACATCAACCAGATGTTTTTCCAAGGTGGCATTACCAAAAGAGACTGATTTTCCGACAAGCTGTAAATTGCACACATAAACAACATTTCAATTTATCTATTTCAATATACTGATGACTATTATCAAGGAATTTTCTTAAAAACTCATTCCAGTTACACATAGGATAAAAAAGTGAAAATGAACATCGATGAACCTGGAAAGTTTTTCAAACTTATTTTTTCCTGAATCTAAAGTCAAAAATCTACTAGAACAAATAGAACTCTGTCATTAATTGAAAACTCGTTCCAACATAAATAAAAAAAAACCTATTCAATGCATTGAACATTTCAATCGTAACTAGAACTGAAAGTGCCATTGCATTCGGATGTGTATCCTCGAAAACGGTACAATCAAGATCAGCAAAGTTTTCTGGTTCAATTTCACATCGCATCCAATGTGTCAGCTGATAATAACTAATCTGTGGACCATCTTCATATAACAAAAACCACCACATCGCCGCACCAACGGTTGCCAATCCAACATATGCTGAAAAAAAGAATGTACAAAACAAAAGAATGTATCCAAAAAGAATGTATCGAATAAAATTCAATATTTCCATAATCCGGTAATTCAATGCAGGAGATTACCTAACAAATCACTGACATCGAGATACCATTAACAGTTTTCTTTTCTTCTATAATAAGACCCTGTGATTTTGAGTTGTCAAAATATTCAATTTTATAACATCAGCGAAAGCCTTTTTATTAAAAGCCATTTTATACATAATATTAAAAACATACATCCAACAGCCATGTAACGGAAGAAAAGCCATTTAGAAATAAGTGACTCTCCAGCAGAACGTGGTGGCCGATCCATAATATCCAGATCAGGAGGATTGAAACCTAAAGCAGTAGCTGGAAGACCGTCGGTAACCAAATTTACCCATAGCAGTTGCACGGGAATTAGCGCCTCGGGTATACCTAATGCCGCCACTAAGAAAATCGATACAACCTGAAAAGATATTTATTTGCTTAGCAGTAAATAGATTCAAACCATCTACTTCTAGGATTTTGATCCACTTATTCATTTTCACCGGTCATTACGCATAAGTAAAGCTTACTTACAAAAATTATAAAACTTACTGATTTAAAATTAGATTTCACTATTATTTTCCGACCAGGAAAAATAAAATAAAAATTACACAGACCCAAAACAAAAAACTTCTCTTTGAAAATAAAAATGCGTTAAAATTTTGAGACCTCGCCAATATTTGATGAAATGAGATAACGAATAAATTGCTTCATGTTATTGTAAATAGCTCGTCCCTCTTCAACTGCCGCAACAATTGTCGCGAAATTATCATCAGCTAGAACCATTTCTGATGCCGTTTTTGCAACAGCTGTCCCTGAACCCATAGCAATGCCTAAAATTAAAAATAATGATCGGTCTTAAAAAAAGAGGAGGCAATTATATGAAGACGGTTAGAAAAATCTGAAAATGACTGAGACAATATTAATAGAAATGATGCAAAAATTATCAGAACATCCTTAGGTCCTTGGCAAAAGCCAAAAGAAAATTTTGGTCTTAAGAGATATGTTGGGTAAATAACATAATAATATTTGTACGATACATGTATGTCTTCACAGATTATGAATAGACGAGGTATCACGAAATCATATGCCTATTCTTATAATGAATCTGTTTTCTTTTTTCCTTTTCTGATTACATGCACGCAGTACAAATACAACAGACTTAAACTGCAGAAAATCAGTATTTCGTCATGCTAGTTTTCACGGGATTGTATTATTCCAAACTTCCTACTTTTATAGCATGCTATTCTCAGAATTCGTCCATTCCTCAGACGATATTTTCAGCTTAATTACTCAACTTGAATATGAGAAAATATTATGTGTACGACAGTAGGCATAGTAAATTGGATTACAGAATGTCTTTAATTTTTGTGTTTCAAACATTCAGATTGCCAATATCATACCAATTTCGGATTTTTTTAGTGCCGGTGCATCGTTCACTCCATCACCAGTCATGGCAGTAATTTCACCATGTGATTGAAGAAATTCAACAATTTTTGATTTATGTGCAGGTTCAACACGTGCAAAAAGTTTAGCTCGTCGGCATGCATCGCTTTGCTGTTCTGGTGGTAGATCATCGAATTCCCGCCCAGTAAATGCCTTGCCTGGAATTATTTTCATATTATAATAAAGTTCTTGCATTCTGAAGGAACACAGCTATATTTACCACCGTATAATTACAACGGTAATAATTATAACGATAGATTAATTTGCAAAATACCACGATTGTTTTACTCAGTAGCTAGTAAATCATGTGCTTATAGTCATCGAAAGAAATCTAAATGTGATTTCCTTTTTTGTACAAAGAATCTCATTCCAAATGACCAGTTACGATTTCCGCAAATAATGAGAAATTAGTTCTTAAATCATAATAATAATTACCAGTAGAGTCTTCATCTTCTCCGAAAAGTCCAATACGACGACCAATTGCTTCCGCAGTATCTTTGTTATCACCAGTGATCATGATAACTCGAATACCGGCCATACGACATTCCTTAATTGAGGGAATCACCTCAGCTCGCGGTGGATCTAACATACCAACCACACCCACAAATGTAATATCCTTTTCGTAAAGTACAAATTGCGACGAATCTTCCAAATTCATACTACAAAATTGTTATTAACAGTCTTAAAATATATGCAAAGTCTACTTGTTTGGTTTCTGAAAAAGAAAAGTACTTAATGCAATAACTCCAAGCAACAAAGAAAAAACATTTCATTTTCGCATTAAAAATTATTTCTCCTTCTTTCTTTGTTAAAAAATGATATTAAATTACGTGCGAGGATCAGGTGGACTATCAACTGTTCCCAAGGCTAAACATCGCAAAGTATCACGTCCGGTACCATACTGAATGCACTGATCAACGATTTTCTGCGTTATCTTCTGTGTTAATGGTATTCGCTGTCCGTTCACTCGAACATGAGTGCACCGATTCAATACACCTGAAGTAGGAATTCATGAAAACAACAAAAGAATTGGTGTCTGCCAACTAAAGCAGCAACTCAAAAACGTTATCTGTAAATTAAACAAGTTTTATCTTCGTTAGCATATCATATGCTTATTTACAAATTAAAAAAAGAGAAGCAAAATACTATGTTCTCATTTTCACTCGTTTTATGAAAGGACTCATCCTTTTTAATATTTTATGACTCTCCAGTTTTCCTCTCAGTTATCCAACATATTCACTGCAGTATTCAGCCACGCAGTAAGTACACCATATCTCTCTGTCCCTGCTTATGTAGACGAATACACAGCCTTGGATACTGATGAAACCAAATCATCTCAAAATTCAATCAAATTGGAACAAACCTAATGTACTCTCTCAATCTTCATGCTCTGATTTTTGAAATAA